GGGGGGGGGTCACGATGCGGAAGGAGTGGACAATAGTGTGTATGGAGGCAGAGCAGGAGAGTGATGAGTGTGACTTACAAAATGACTAAAGGATAAGATAGAGAGAAGAAGAGAGGGAAGAAGAAGAAGCTTAGAAAAATGTCTGCATCGGCATGACCTCCTCGCCGCCACCGTTCATTTAGCATTTCCGCTGCTCCTGTAAATATTTAAGTGATTCCTCCAGTAATATGAGAGAGCGCACGCGCACGCTCGCCACTCGCGGCCTTCGGTGCGGACAACAGTGTTGCTGTTCATTTGTTATCTAACGCGTGATAACAGGAAAATTCTAAACTGCGCCACTTATTACCGCCTTCTTTACCTGCTATCGCCAGCCAGGAGGCGGTAACATTTAGACGAACGGGCAGGCGCACCCATACCTCTGCGCGCTCGGCCGCGGCTTTCAGACCACACCGCATGGCATGCAACATTCAGAGCACTCTGCCGAGCGAATCACCCCATTGAGATGTCTCCGGAAAGTTTCCGGGATGCATGGCGATGATAGAGAACGCTGCTGATGGATTTCTGTAAGCAGTCCGCGTCACCGCTGCTCCCGGCTCCGCAAGAAGGGGCTATAGGGCCGAGGCGCATACCGGCGGAGCTTAACCGCAGGACGGGATAGGGGCAAAAATGCGGGTGTCTCTGCATGCTTGCAAATAAGAAAAAAAAATACGGGGGGAACAAGCGCAAAACCGCACGAGTTCACACGCTTTGTTCATACTTGGCTCGGTAACTGTGCATGCAACACTGTGTGTGCGTGTGTGTGTGCCGCCCGCGTTTGTGCAGACGGGAGTCGATTCGATGAGATCCCGGAGAGCAGCGTCCTATAGACTTCCGCACTGCACAAGCCGGTTGAGTTTGACAACACAAGTCAACCAAACTCGTCGCGTGCGATCGTACTTCTTATTATTCACGCCCCCGCAGAGCTGCATACATTTGAAATAATAACGCCAGATAATAGACGCGACGTCACTCACTCGTTCGCTCCCTCCGCCTCATCTGCTCTTCTTCTTCCGAGATATTTTTCGTTCGAAGCGACAATTAAACAGGAAGGAGCGAAGCCGTGTCGTGGCGTGCCGGGACGAGCAGGAGCCGAGTCGGCCCGGAGACCTTCGCCTTGGGACGGCCGGCCTGGCTCCGGTTGACTTAGGCGCGGCCGCTAACGACAAAATAAAAATTGGCAGCCAGCAGCAGCAGCAGCAGCAGCAGTACCAACAACGGCGAGTAGGATCGTAATTAGAGGCCACTCGTCGAATAAGCGATGACACATTTGTGCTTCCTATTCCGGAGCAGGGCTCCAAAACATTCTGCCTGATCGCTTTCCAGTAGTTATTGTTGAGTTGCCCGCCTACGTCACCCTCGTCCCCGCCTCCTTTAGGATCGTCCAGAAAGTATGTCCGCCTCCCCCCCCCCC